TGTTTGCGGCCTACGCCACTTATTTATCGGGTGAGACTGTTTTGGTGATGTATTAACTTCACGGGAGGTAGACGACCGTCCTTCACACGGACGAAAGAGGGAGTGCTCAAAGAGCGGCTCCCACAGCAAGGAGGGGCCCCGTGAATCATCGCGGTGCCCCCTATCAAACGGTTATCTTACCAGTCTGCGTGACACAAAATCATCCAGCACATCATGTATCCAACATCAATGTTCGCAGACTCACGAACAGGATGTTGGTTGTATTGTGGACCAAAGGCTGGCAGGATACGCGAGTACGGATCCAACCGTGCTTGAGTGAAGGTCCAAACTTGCTTCATTTTTAGCTTCGAACTCGAAACCACCTGCGGCAGAACGTCTTGTGGCTTGTGGCGTGCCTCAAGTTCGGGTGTTCACTCTCGACCAGCATCTACGACGTCGTGGTCATGCCCTTGTCGATCGTTGTGTTCAGCTCCTTTGCTGTTGTTCATGTATGGTCCACGTGTTGACGAAATCATCCCGTTATCCGTTCCGTGGTCACTTTGGTAATCCCAAGATAGATGTGTCCAACTCTCATTCTGAAGGAACTACTGCTCAGTCTACCGCACGGTCTTCGTCGTGCTGACCTAGTATATTTTTGTGTTGCCAAGTGGTGCATGCCGAAAAAAGAGCGGAGACATGGGTTGCCCAGGGCTGAGGTAGATCCGTACCGACAAGTATCAACCTGTTCGTCATGGTATCTGTATCTATCATCGGGAGAAGAGTCATTATCGCAGCTGTAACGCCTTGAAATATGGAAGTAACCCTTCGTCGATCCGGCTGGTTGTGTGTGAATATGGGTTGTGCGTGAATATTTCATTTCACCCCCTCACCTAACACTGTTGTACTTGTTGGTGCCTACTGTTCGCATATTGCTCGTCTTTGGCAGGAGAGGGAGAGGAACGCCCAGCGAAAGATCAACGAGGTGGACGCTGAGCTTCTGGCCCTCACCAACGTCAACGTCCACAGAAGCTTCGCGATCTCCGACTCGGTCAGCGCTACCAACCATGACCGCCGCTACACTGGGACCGCTGACCCCCAGATGGAATCGGCGTACGCTGCACCCCCCCCAGGGTCGACTGTCACCACCACAAGCCGTTCGGCCGCCCCGCCGAACCATCACGACTTTGTGGGTGGTGTTACACAGGTCCATATCCAGTAGATGAACATGCATGGCGCTTCCCTTGTTCGGCATTTTTCCTCCTCGCTTGGTCGTGGGCAAGACGTTTTGTGGGTCGACGGCATTCTGCGTGTGCCTACAGTAGCGCAGGTACAAGTGTTGCGACCCGACCTTCCCGGTTATTCATGGTTCGACCGGACGCATTCAAACCGACCGCCTGGGTATATAACTATACTGCCGAGTGTTCTGTTCTTCCGCCGTATGTTGGTACGGCGCTCTTTGTCAGATTCCATGTGTATGTAGACACGCCCAGGCGCACGTTTGAGGCGAACCGCGTTGTATGTGGTGTTTCTGACAACTTGACGGCAACGACTCGTCTTGATTCTCGGTGATATTGGTCAAGCAAAATCTCACTCCGGCGCTTGAGGGATGTTCCCGATCACCTGACTGTACGCGTTCCTGCCACATTTTCATCTTCAAGAGGCTGCTTATGTTTTTGTGGCGCCCTCGGCTGTGTGAGCTATGGGTCCTTCGGGCATCCATCACTAGAAAATGTAATCGATTTGCAAGCACGTAATGTAATGATACGGCGCGTTCAACGGGCACCGGTTCAACGCATGCATGCAGCGTGTGGGCCTCTTTCGCCTTTGGGGGAAGTTTCACTTTATGGAGGCACAGGGAAGCTTTGGGGCCCTGTTGGTTGAACAGACAATGTTCTTGTCTACATGAGCGGATGAGGACATTCAAACGGGACAGCATATATTGGCCACAAAACGTGTACAGATGGGAATTGATGCTACTGGAGTGCGCTGGCTTGGGTCTATGGTTGAACCTCGAGGCTCGGCTCTCTGTGCGTTGGAACGTGTTGGCACCCTCTCTCCCGTCGCCTTATCTCAGATACTTGATCTTGTCGTCTGTACTCAAAACAAGTGATATACAAGCACCTTCAACACACACCAGGGTATACGAACAGACAAGAGTGAGGCCACAACCTCAATACCACAGCGAAACGGCCAAAGAGTCTAACGACCGCCGAGATCATCCCCCATGCTGACATAAATTGGAGTCAAAATGTTCGAGCTGTGATTCTTTGCCTGAGTAGCAAGGAGTCAGACAGAGGGCGCTTCCTGGCACCCGTCTGCGAAGCCGGGGCAAGTTCGTCGTTAGGTTTCCGCCGACTGTACTAAATGGAGTACCATGTGTTGTCACGTCACCTCGGACACTTACCCATCTTTACCACACGAAGAAACCTTGTTTTTGACATCATATTTTTTTTGTATCTGGATCACTTCTTGTGTAACGGCTGCATTTTTCGGCGCCCGCCGCCCTCGCGCCGGGGGGTGGGAGGGTGTACTCGTCGTCGTGCATGCCGTAGTCGTTACATAGACCATTGACCTCATATCCCTACATTGCCAGGACGGAGCACGCCAGGTTCTGACCGGACCATGCTCTCGCATCACCAACCGCGAAGCGCCGTGAGGTGTTCGGCGAGTCGCATATGAAGGGTGCGCTGCATCCTGCTAAGGGTGTTCTGCATCATTGCTTACTTCCTTGCGTACGGATGACAGCTGCGTATGACTAAATTTATTTTCTGGTGAGCCAGCTGTAAGCACGATGTAACTGTCTCGAGGGTGCTTGATCAATACTTACCACAACGTGGTGCGATTATCCCCTTTGCGCGGAGTGAGGGTTCTCGACCCCGCACAACGTAATCTACTCGACCACCATTTATGGTTACCGCGCACAACAAATGCAAAAAAAGAATGGCGGGAACCTGGTTGCCGAGCTCACGAAGCGATCGGCTTCTTTGACATCATCGCTGCACGCGACGGAAACCCAAACCCGATGGCAAGCACCGGGGGGGGCTGCTTGCTTTACAACGTCGTTGCCAAGCGACGAAAACGCAACCCTGATGGCACACAGGGGGGGGAGGGGGCGCTAAGTGCCCTAGTAGAAATATACTGTTATGAACAACATCCGACGTTAGAGAGGCAGTTGGTTGTTGTGCTTTCTCGCCTCCTCTGTCCTCCCTTTGTGCCGCGCGCGCGCCCGGGTCGTTCTCTAAGAGACATGGAGGCTTGCTTGTGCATGGCCCTGACTAGACTAGTCGGTAGGCACTTTGCCTGAAGTTTCTTGTAAGTTTCCAAACTTTCGTTGTGTCCGTACTTTTCTCTCTACCCGATGTGCTCCGGGTGGGTATGTAAGAAATAGGGCGGGCCCCTTTGACTCACCTTCGCTCTGTTGTCAAGGACGACCGACCACAAACTGACAAAGGCGCGCCTAAAAACATGAACATGATGATCTGCATACATACATGTGACGGACTACCACTGGCTTGTAGTAGTATCTTGTCGTCCGGAGCAACCCAGGAAAGAAAACGGCAATTTACCGATGATCAGTTGTTTGCTACTGATGATGACGGTGCTACCAAAGATCGCAGCAGGTACTGCTGCTGTGTGTGGCGCTGTAGCGAGCCGCTCGGTATTGCTCTCATTCTCGCTGTCTGTTGGGTGAAAAAAAGGTAGACTAGACGAAGACCTACCCACTTTTGCAGTGAAAAAATTCAAGAACAGCTGTTATGAAACGATCGACGACTTCAGAGTTGTTTGTTTGTTTTTTGCCTCCTCACCTCCTCTGTCCTCCCTGTGTGCCGCGCGCGCGCCCAGGTCGTTCTTGTAGGGACATGGACGCTTGCGCATTTTCAGTTGGTAGGGGACGCGCTTTTTCCCTGAAGTTTCTTGTAAACTTCTGATAAAATAGCCCGGGGCACCGGGGCACCCTACAAGCTGTGAAGACTTATTATTATCCAGAATTCTTGAGCAAACGTAAACTGGGTGTTCTGTCCTAGTCGGAACTTGGGAAAATGAAAATATAGCATCGCGTTGACCTACACTAAAATGATCCTAAGTGCTAATCATTTTTCCTTGGGCTGTGGGCCGTCTCCCCTTTCCTGGACCCAAATCGATCTCGGGATCTCAATCCCGATTGCCGTGCCAATCGATCGTATCCAGCTCATCGTGTCTCCCACACACACGCGCGCGAGCACCCACCCCACCACACACACCACGAGCCCATTCAGCGCACAACAATCACAGCAATCAGCACGTGAGGGCCGCTAGGAGAGCATCTTGCTCGACAACACGCACAGGGTATTCCGCAGCAGCTGGGGCCCCTTGCACAGCAGTGGCCAACAGGTCAACGAGAAAACGGGGAAACTTCGCCGATGTCAGGAAAATCGTGCGTCGAGACCACCAGTAGTAGGACACGGTTTGACCTTTGAATACAATTGCAGTAACGAGTCTGCGTAGCAGTAGAAAAGAATCCATCTCTCCGTGGCATGTATTCTCTTGTTCTAGAAATATTCCGGAAGCATGCTAGGTCAAGGTTGACCGGGACATCTACGTAGAACGTGTGTAGCTTCTGGAAGCATTCTGGAAACTTCTGAAACCTTCTGGAAGCTTCTGGAAGCGTTCTAGATCTAGGTTGCAGTTGATACTCTTCTAGAATGTAGGAGGGCTTCCAGAAATCATTCTGGAAGCATTCTGGATCTTTCGTGTGATTGGCTTATTTGTCCGGTATTCGAGGAGAGTGGTGCAGCCCTAAGCTCGCCCGGAATGCAACATTTCAGGCGCTCCAAATATGCCTATGATGCGATCGATAATGGCCTGCGCAACAGTGGCTGCTGATTTATTGGGAATCGGAGTCAACACGGTGAATCGGGTTAGATGGTCCATCGTAGAGAGAACATATTTGCATCGTACCCAGGCGGTTGAAACCGATTCTACGTTATATTCGACTAAATCAACCGAAATACGTTCAAACGGTCTTTGTACAGGTACATGTCCCGTTGGGAGCTTGTTTCGGTTGTGGGCCGTTTTTCGACGTTGACAGGCTTGACATTCTTGACACCAAGTACGGACGTCTCGATTCATGGTTGGCCACCAATATTTTTGGCGGATCTTCTCATAAGTTGGTCTAGACGCTAAGTGGCCTCCGGACAATACGTGGTCATGATATGCATGCATCACCAACCCGGTTAGAGCTTGTGGTAATACTAATTGGTCACTAAACGTACTGCGTTTCCGGAGGTAACCTGATAGATACGATTTATGCAGCAACTCGTCGCGCACAAAGTAGTACGACATGGAAGTTGTTGTCTCGTTATCAGGTAATCGGGCGTCATCTTTCGTAAGATAGTCGATATATGTGCCGTACTCGAGAGCTTGCTTTTCACGCAAAACGTCGTGATTAATCGTCTCAAAGACATTGGTCGCGCTAACATAGACTGATTTCTCAGCGAATAATTCGCGATCGCTTTGGACTGGTTGCAGGTTATCCAGGCGATCTGCAGACACTTGGTACGGACGTTGTGGGACACTAGATTGTAATGCAGGGTCCTGCGGCACATTTCTGCAAATCGGTGCTAGTTGCGGGGTTTCCAACTGTTGTTGGTGATCAAACGCAAACAACCGAGAGAGTGTGTCTGGGACTACGTGTAACCTTCCCGGCTTGTGTCGCACGGTAAAGTCAAAAGACTGCAAAGCAATCGCCCACCTAGTCAGCATATTAGACGTGTCTTGCATCGTGTACAAATATCTTAACGCCGCATGATCCGTCACGACTTCAAAATGTTTACCCCACAGGTAGGGTCTCCAGTGTTGTAAACTCAAAACAACTCCGTAACATTCTTTCATCGTGGGGGAGTAGTGGCGTTGAGCTTTGTTAAATCGCTGGCTGAAGTATGCAATAATATTCAGGTCGTCACCATTCTTTTGGGCTAGGAATGCTCCTGCACCAACTTCACTGGCATCAACGTGAACCACGAAAGATCTGGTAAAGTCAGGGAAACATAGTACGGGGGCTTCGCTGAGTAAACGTTTTACCTCTGCAAACGCCTTATCGTGTTCCTGATTCCATCGTTTTGCGATTGATTTCACATGCTCTTTCTGCGTGAGTTCGACTAGCGGCGCGATTACCGTAGAAAGGTCGGGTATATACTTACGTACAAAATTGACCATGCCCAAAGCCGAACGAAGTTCTTTAATGGTTTTGGGTGTAGGTAAGTCAATAATGGCTTTAATGCGATCTTCACCTATGCGAATCCCTTTCTCAGACAGTATGTGTCCCAAGTATTTGACTTCTCTTGGTCCAAATTGTACTTTAGTGGGTTTCAGGGTGAGACCGGCAGCTTGGAGGGCCTGGAGCATGCTTTCTAATAAAGTTAGATGGCTCTCCCAAGTAGAACTGCAGCAGATGATGTCGTCCATGTACACTAGAAGTCCACTGCGTGGTCCAAAGTGAGAAAAGGCTAGGGACATCATACGGGCAAACAAGAAGGGAGCATTCGCAATTCCGAAGGGGAGGCGTTTAAAGACCCATTTCCCTTTGTGTGTTACAAAAGCCGTCTTATCTTGCTCTTCTGCTGGTATTTCCATTTGATGATACGCGTTTTGAATATCACAAACTGTGATATATTTCGCACCACCAACGGTCCGGTATCAACGTGGGATTCGATATCTGGCATGGGCCAAGATTTTCGAATTAAATTTTTATTGATCGTAGAGCGATAGTCAACGCAGAATCTGGGAGTGCCATCAGCTTTCACTACTATGGTAACGGCGGAGCCCCAAGGACTGGGTCTCTGCTCAATAATCCCATCTTTTTCCATTTGATCCACACACTTATCGATAACTTCCTGCGCTCTAGGGTTTGTACGATAGGGAGCACGGTCGACTGGTTTAGTGCCTGGTTCTAGGGGAAAATCTGCTTTGGCTATCGTGCATTTTCCAAGTTCTTTGGAAGACAAAGAAAATACATTACGATATTTCGCACATAAGTCCAAAACTTGCGAGCATTGTTGCGGAGTAAATGTAGTGTTCGTGAACGCTTTTTTCATGGCTCCTTTAAGCTCATCTCGCTTTTGTCTGAACGTAGTTTGGTCGCTAGTCACAGCGCTGACTGTTTTCTCGGCGACTGATTTGACAGGTGAAATGTACCCTACGATTGTATCGCGTTCGAGGTATACATGTCGTTTGGACGGGTTGGCAATTTGTGCTGCTGCTGACTTGTCAGTTGCTGACCAATTGCACACGGTCCTCGCAACTAGTATTCTACGAAACGCTGCGGGTATACTATCGGACGATTCCATGTCCTGGGTTGTGACGATACGTGGTTCTATCAACGCAGGCGTGGTCGCCTCAGGCGCGATTTCAGCCACTACGTCTACTGTCATTTCATGTTGGGGAGGAATGCAGTATCTCTTGGGGAGATATACAGGCACCGCTCCTACTGATGGGTCAAGCGCAACTATAGATATTTGTGCTGGAGCACTATCATTTGGGCCTGCTTGACTATTCGTTCGTCGGTGTTTTGCCGGAATTTTCCTTGTGGAATTTTTAAACGAAAGTTGCTCGCCGCACCAGTCTAGTACGGCGCCAAAGGCATTCATTATGCTATTATCGAGCAACATTTTATCCGGACCTACCTAGGTTTGGTAACACCAGAGGGCCTCCACTGGTAAAGTGATATCTCCCAGTGTAAGGTTGAAACGAATGTAACCTAGGATTTCTAATGCGGACCCATCTGCACTGTTCAACTGAATTGCACCTGGCGGCACAGGGTTCAGAGGTAGATGTTGCAGTTTTGGGTGCGATTTGATAAAGGATGCTGATATACATGGTACATCAGCGGCTGTGTCGATAGTAAGGTCGGACACAGGGTAATTACTAACTCGGGCAGGAATTCGCACTCTCTTGGAGGACGAATTTAACGCATTAGGGTGTTGTGGATATTTACTAAGTGCAGACGTATGAAACGATGCATATTGAGATCCACTANGTTAGATGGCTCTCCCAAGTAGAACTGCAGCAGATGATGTCGTCCATGTACACTAGAAGTCCACTGCGTGGTCCAAAGTGAGAAAAGGCTAGGGACATCATACGGGCAAACAAGAAGGGAGCATTCGCAATTCCGAAGGGGAGGCGTTTAAAGACCCATTTCCCTTTGTGTGTTACAAAAGCCGTCTTATCTTGCTCTTCTGCTGGTATTTCCATTTGATGATACGCGTTTTGAATGTCGCAAACTGATATATTTCGCACCACCAACGGTATCAATGTGGGATTCGATATCTGGCATGGGCCAAGATTTTCGAATTAAATTTTTATTGATCGTAGAGCGATAGTCAACGCAGAATCTGGGAGTGCCATCAGCTTTCACTACTATGGTAACGGCGGAGNGGGCTTGCGGGGCTAACCTAGGTCCTGACGCACGAGTGCGTTTGGTTTGCCTATTCTTCCCTGCGTTGCTACTTGGCTGATTCTTGAACGATACCGGGGCAGACGCTGCTACTTGAGTATCAGACTCACTGCTAGATAATCCTCGTACGGATTTTAAACCACTTCCCTTAGCCCGAGGAACAAATGATTCCCTCGAATTTCTACCGTTGGGTACACGCGGGGCTGAATTTACTCGGGCAACATGTGCTAAGTGAGTTTCATCAGCAAATGGTGTACTAGCAGTCCGTGTCCCTGCGGGCGAGGGCTCCCGTGAAGGGCCTCGTCAGTTTGCTACACGCTTGAAGCCCCGGGACTCGTCACTTTTCTTTAGGGCGCACTTGTCGATAGTGTGGCGGAACTTGCATCCCGGATAGGGGCATTGATCCCCCCCTCCCTTCTGGTTGGAAGCAGGGGTGGTTGCCGATTTGTCCGAGGTGCGAGCCCGCTTGCTGTACGAACCCTGGCTGGAGGCACGGTTAGGGGGCTGCTTCACCGCTGACTTCAGCTTGGAAAGTTCCGTCTGAAGATCTTTGATGATAGCAGTATTGGATGACACCGTGTTTTTCAGCTGCGGAGGGTCGGAGTCCGCGACAGAAGATACGGTAGCGGGTTGTGATGAGGTTACGCCTCTAAGGTTATTGGCCTCGTGTTTCTTAGCGCGAATGCGTGCTTCCTGGAATGTGTTTGGGGGGTCCTCTCGGATACTCTCTAGCCTAATACTTGGCAAAAGGCCGTTCTCAAACGTCGCTGTCATGAAAACATCCCATGCATGTTCGTGGGGGCTGAGGTGAGAGGGGGCGGAGCGCGCAGCTTCCGCTAGAAGACGTGTGCGGGCTTGAGTGACTTTGAGAGAGTACGAGTCTACTGTCTGATCTTCTGATTGCTTGATGGTAGCAATTTCCCTAGCCAACACAGAGAGGCGGTTGGGGGCGGAAAAAAGAAAAGTAAAAGCGTGACAGTACTCTTCCCAAGTAGCAGGTGCTCTTGGCCTAACACTGTGTCCGGCGTTCCGAAGCGCAGTCAACCTGTTCTCTGATCGCCATTCGAGAGTGCCCTCAACTAGCTGAATGAGGCTGTCGTAGGCTGCGTCTCGGAGTACGAACGGGAGAAACTGGATCGCTCTTTGGTCCACTACGGATTCAGGTGGGTTGTCGGCCGCAACTGAGGCTAGTTTCACACGCGCTCTGTATCGAGTTAGTATTTCTACCACATCTTGCTCACCAGGTCTTCCGGAAAAAACGATTTCTTTCGGTAGATCGTTCTGGCGAAATTGGAATTTCGGGCCAGATGTGATTGTAGTAATGGGGGTGCCTTGAGGCATCGGGGTGGTGGTGCCTTGAGGCATAGAGAAAGTCGCAAGCGGGGGCGTAGATGGCGCTACAGGGTTGCTAGGCCTGTGTGTGCTGTCTTCGCTACGTGGAGCCGATGCAAACTCGGGAGCTAGATGGCGAGGGTTCACAGGTGAACGTTGGGTTTCAGCGGGCAAGTCATTTCGGCGAAAAATCGACGGTGAGCGATCATTTTGCTGAATTGGATTGCTACGTGCTGTACAAGGGTTGTTCACCTGAGTGACCTGTTCCGCGGAGGCCGCTGAGAGGGTAGGGCGGAAGAGGGACACTAACCATCCGGGCGGGTTGGACTTCTCCGTGTGGTGCTGCAGCATCAATTCGGTGAACTGGCCGCCAGCAGCTTCCATCATGGCCTTGCGGTCCTGAGGGGAGAGTCGCTGTTCCCGGAAATCTTCGAGAAGCTGACGCATGATGTGCATATCACGCTCATCCGCGTCGCCGTCCTCCGAGCCATCGCTGTTGCCCTGAGTGTTGTCGCCGCCGGCGCCGTCGACGTCCCCGTCAACGTCGCCGTCGTCGCCGCCGTTGTTGTCGTCGCCGTTCTCCGAGCCGTCGCTGTTCTCGTTGCTCCCGTCAGGCGTGTCCCCTTTTTCCTCCTGGTCGGGCTGTTGTTCCCGACCTGGACGGGGAGCCGGGGTCCGCCTCGCGGGTGTGCCACGTTGAGGGGGAGTAGCCGAGGTTTGCGACGCCTTGGAGGTAAAGGCGGCGAGCTGGCGCCGTAGTTGGTCGATCTCCTGCTGCTTCTTTTCCGCGAGTCCCGTGGCGTCCGCGGCGTGCTGTCTCGCTCGCTTGATGCGGTCGCTGGTGGACTTGCCTTTGTTGCCCATGTTTTTTTTTCTCTTTTATGTTTCTCGTTTGCACACGTTCACAATCACGGCGAGAGTCGTGCCTTGTTCGTCGACGCCAATGAGGACACTAGTCCCTGTCAGAGACAGAGGCTGGTGTNGGTCGGGCTGTTGTTCCCGACCTGGACGGGGAGCCGGGGTCCGCCTCGCGAGTGTGCCACGTTGAGGGGGAGTAGCCGAGGTTTGCGACGCCTTGGAGGTAAAGGCGGCGAGCTGGCGCCGTAGTTGGTCGATCTCCTGCTGCTTCTTTTCCGCGAGTCCCGTGGCGTCCGCGGCGTGCTGTCTCGCTCGCTTGATGCGGTCGCTGGTGGACTTGCCTTTGTTGCCCATGATTTTTTTTCTCTTTTATGTTTCCCGTTTGCACACGTTCACAATCACGGCGAGAGTCGTTCCTTGTTCGTCGACGCCAATGAGGACACTAGTCCCTGTCAGAGACAGAGGC